TGCCCGCCCCAGCAGCACGCGCTGCCCGTGCGGACCCACCCCGGGTCCCCCCTCCCGAGTGCTCCCCCGCCTGCAGCCACCCCCCTACTGGTGTTTCCCCCTTCCTTCTTGGCCCTGCTGCCCGCCATGGGGCCAGCAGCACCCACGCCCCCGTTGCCCTGCAGGGGAGGGCAGCAGGGTCCTGTCCCCCTCATACCGGGGCGGAGAAGCAGCCCAGCGCCCGCAGGTGGCACATGGCCTGGTGCACTGCTTGCCAGGGGTGAGCTCCCACCTCCCCTCTCTGGCAGCACCTCTCGCCCCCGCTGTGCCCAGCACAGGGGGCAGGGGGGGGGTGAAGGGCAGGCAGAGCCCTGGCCAGGCTGCCCCTGGGAAGCCACAGGGCCAGGGGACCCAGCTCTGTGCCACCACAACAGCACCCCGAGGCAGTGCAGGGCTTGGCACACTCCAGCAAACCCTGCGGGACTGCACCGCAGGCAGCCAAGGGCCCAGGGTGCTACAGCCACAGCACCTGCACGCAGAGCTGTGGCCAGACACACCTCAATCAACTGCAACAGCAGAGATAGAGTCAAAACTGTCCTTCCGTAGGACCAGCTTTTTGCAAAACCCAAGTGCAGGCAGCAGCCCCAGCTCAAGGCAGGGCAGCACCAAGCCAGCATTGGCACCACACAGAGGTGGGGGACTAGTTGCCCCAGCTCTGGGCTCAGAGAAACACAGATGGGCTGGACACGCTGCCCTGGCCAGGGTGCAACCTGGAGGGGAGGGAGGAGGCCCCTCCTGGAGGGGAGCTGCAGGGAGACCAGAAGCACAGGCAGCACTGTCAGGAGGCCAGCAGGCAGCTCCACCTCAAGAACCTGAATAGGCAGGGGGGGAAAGGACAGACCCAACAACCAAAAAACACAAATAAAAGATTAAGGACAGGGCACAGGCTGGGCCATGCTGGAGCAGGGGAGGGGAGGAGTGAGGGGACCCCTCTGCAGCCAGGGCCAGGACAGCCAGGAGGGACAGCAGAGGACATGGGCCGAAGGGAGCCAGCAAACTCCCAGTGCTCAATGGACTGGAGCTGTGAACCTGCAGGTCTGGCACCATAAACCCTTGGGAAGCAAATAAGCTTCATTCCACCTGTGCTGCAGGTGCCTGTAGGAGAGGATGCGAGTAAACACAGCCTGGGGTGGGCAGCGTGGGGACCATGCTGTGCTGCAGCCACAGCACTGACCCTGCAGGGGTGCTGGGCAGTCCTCGGCTGGGGAGCTGATCTTCCCAAGAAGGCAGAGCCATGTCCCACCAATGTGCAGGGGCTTGGGAGAGATGGGGACCAGCTCCCCAGGCTGAGCTGACCCAGAGAAGCTGGGCTCTGCTACCGCCTCCCACACCCAGGCTCACAGGGCAGCAAGCTGTGCCTGGGCCTTGGCCAGGGGAGGACAGAGCTCAGCATCCTCCTGGGGACTATCCAGGGCCCCCCAGACCAGAGGGACACCCCCACAGCCCCAGGAAGAGGGGCAGTGGTCCCAGGCACTGGGGGATGCAGTACCCCCAAACCCACAGTGATGCCCAGGCAATGCCAGCTCTGTGCTCCCAGCCCTGCTCAGCCAGCAGGTAGGTACAGGATACGGCAACACATCATCCTCCTCCCAGGAGACACCCCCACCCCCCCCAGGATGCCAGAGCTCTGGACACATGGACCATGCTCAGCTACAGCCATTCATTGTGGGATAGGACAGGGGGACCCCACAGGCAGAGCCGTGCTCCCCCCACAGTCACACCACAAACTTGGTCTTGGTCAGGGAGCCGCTCTTGGTGGCCGTATCCGCATGGGCCTGGTACCCAATGGCCACCTTCTGCGACAGGCCTAGGTGCTCCTTGTAGACACGCCTGGAGGAGGGAAGGGGCTGCATGAACAGGACAGCATTGCTTCTTCCACTGGCTCCCTGGCCAGGGATCCCATTCCCCCCAAACCTGACCCTGCGCAGCCCCCTTCTCAAAGCTGCATTACCCGATGTGGGTGACTCCTTCCCGGTTCTCTGCTTCCCGGGTCCAGATGGCAATCTTGTCCCCCTTGGCGCGGATGTTGATGACAGCCCCACACACCTCATCGCTGTACTCATCAAACATCTCCCCAATGAGGCACAGCAGCTGCCAGGAGGAGAAGGGGGGCCCAGGACAGTCCCTGCTAGGGCTCAGCACTGCGGCAGGGGGAAACACCACTGCCAGGACACTGCAGGCCAGCCCAAGCAGAGCTGCACTCACCGTCTCCAGCCAGAAACGGTCCAGCTCAGTGTGCCGCTGCTGCTTGGCCAGGGTGATGAGCCAGCGCCCACCACGCTTGTTCTGGTTGTCTTCCCACATGGGCTCAATGCCATCCTAGGGACAGGCAAGGAGATGATCAAGGGCACCGAGCACCTGGCCAGAGCTGGCTTGGGGAGCTGTGAGCACCCAGCCAGGCTCCCCCTTCCACACCATGGCCAGGGCACCCTGCCAGCCCCACCAGCACCCAGTGTGCCCCCATAATACTGGGTGCTGCAGAAGGCTCTGAGGAGGAACTGCATCTCAGTGGGTGTCACACCTTGAAGAGGGAATAGTCACAGCCAGATGTGAGCTTGCTGGCGAGCTGGATGTGGCTGTACAGCCTGCACCAAGTGGAGACAAAACACATAAGCAGTTAAAAAAAAGATGCTTTGGAGACCCACAGCACCCTCCTCTGGCCCAAATCCCCCCACCAGGACCTCTCCAGAGGGGCCACATTGCCCACCCACGGGACACTCACGCCCAGAAGTCTTCCACAGTGCTGAACTTAGTGACAAGGCGCAGGTTTGCCTGCCACATCTTGCTCTTATCATTCTTGAAGAACCACAGCGCCCACCTGGGGAGGGAGGGGAGATGGGGGGTCAGCCATGCTGAAGCCCCCCTACAGCCCCAGCATCCCCCTCCCAGTGCCTGGGAGAGGCTGCCCATGGCCACACCCCCCATACCTATTTTGCAGGGGGTGCTTGCCCAGGGTCTCTGCCAGGAGCAGTTCTTGCTGCTGAGCCCTCTGCAGCCGCTGCCGCTCCTCTTGCCTCCGCTGGGAAAGGAGGGACAACCCCAAGGCAGCCCATGGCCACCGGCCTACCCCTGGCTGCCCCTGGCTCTTAAGTGCCCACAGGCGGGTGGGATGAGGCAGCCATCCCAGCTGCAGCTGGTGGGGTGGGAGGGCAGGCCGTGTGCTGGGGAGGGGGTGCTGGGCCTGCCCCTGCTGGGGAGCAGGGAGATGGAGGGATCCTCCCTAGGGCACAGAGCTGAGGGATGTGGGCAGGGGGTCAGGGTGGGATGGGATCAGGATTGGGGGGTAGGATGGGGCAAGGTGGGGATAGTGTGGGGTGGGATGAAGATGGGGTGTGGGGCAGGGTGGGATAGCATCAGGATGGGCAGTGGGGAGGGGATGGGATGGGGATAGGATAGGAGCAACATGGGATAGGAATGAAATGGGATGGGATGGATAGTGTGGAATGAAATGGGATAGGGATGGGATCAGGCTTGGATGGGTGGGGACAGGGTGGGATGGGAATGGGGTGGGATGAGGTGGGAAGAGGACATGATGAGGAAGGGATGGGATCGGGATGGGATGGGGGATGGGAGCGGCATAGGGACAGGGTAGAACGTGGAGGGGGTGGGATGGGGACAGGATGGGATGGGGACAGCCTGCAGCAGGGAGGGGATGGGATCAGGATCGGGAGGCGATGGGACAGGGAGAGGGTGGGATGGGGATGGGACACGATGGGAGCGTGACAGGGCAGCGTGGGGACAGCGCGGGATGGGATCGGGACGGGGAGAAGGTGCGACGCGACGGGCGCGTCCCGGGGTGTCGAGCCGTGCGGGGAGGGACCCGCGGG